TATATATATATATATATATATATATATATATATATATATATATATATGTATATATTAAGGCTTTTTAAACCCTTCACACACTCCTATAAACACTTCATATGCATTTAAACACTTTGACGATGGCGATGAAGATGATGAGATGAATGTATAGTACTGTACAGCATGTACTGTAACGGTACACACTATATACATACATACATATATATATATATATATATATATAAACGGGTTTAAAAAGCCACAAGAAGTGAACTGTGATATAGCGAGGGACGACTGTACACTTAAATATACTGCAATGACTTCAACAACTATTCTATTGCTTTGTCCATCCAGGTGATGGAGGATCAGAAAATGCAGCCCATCACTCCCAGTCCAGGCAGTCAGCGCTCACTCAAACCAGGAATGAAGAGCTCCGGTGACTCTGGAGCCATTTCCCTCTCCATCTCTGACTGACAGCAGGAATCTGGGAAAAAAACACATTAAGGACACATCTCTCGCTTTTGTTTATTCGCACAACTTTAACACAAGCTGTAGACATTTTCATGATGTGTTGACGTTTAAAAGGGGTCAACCGAAGGAAACTATGGTATTAAAAGCTTTTAACAGGGGGTCCAGTTTCACATGTACATTCGCCACTAGAACATCAGTCATGTGACCGTTTGCACAACACTAGTACAAACACTCATAGCAGCCTGTTTACTTTTTAATGGCAGCGCTTTTTAGCCGGGTTTAAGTATGAAGAGAACCAATAAAATGAAACTGAAGTACACCATGGGGACCACAAATCTTTGTGCTTATGGTACCTGTAACAGTGACTCATCAGCCATCTTCCTTACAGAGAAGAGGTATTTTCTGTTACTTTTCAAAGACGAGCCGAAGAAGTCTTATCGCTGGATTAGAGCAATGAGACGAGCTGGATTTGTCCGGGCACAGGCATGAGTCGATCACACATACAGCGATAATAATACTGTATACACAGATTGTATATATCACCATCTACGCTTCTTAAAAATGACAAAAACAGTTGCTTGAGTGAGAACAGTACCCAAATCCCCACTTTTAAAAATCAATTTCACTAATTTTCCAGTCTGTCAATGACCCCGGCACTCCAGCTGATGTTTCAGCTGTTAATTTGAGTATTTATTAAGTTAGACGTGTCCAACTTAGCGCCAATGTCTTTTTCTGTTTAGGTTATACGACTGAATGGGGGGGGGGGCAGTGTCATTATCTATGCAAATGATATGTGTGACATCATGAGCGGAGATTCCCAATCTTCCATTGGAAAATCACCATGTCTTCATGTATAAGATAATACAAATAACTGCTTAAAATTAAGGAGCAGATGCAACTGTACAAGTGCTATGTTACACGTTTACAGTTTCTAATGTAATTATATTGTAAAATGTTTGTTGGCGTTTATCATTTCCGGTGGAGAAGCTGTATTTTCCCCACAATATTTTATAATGTTTCATTTTGTCAGAATACTAATAAAATAACAAAATATTTGTGTTTTAAATAAAAATGTAAGTCTAATATTTGTGTGCAGATTTAGCTGTGTGTGTGTGTGTGTGTGTAGGGGGGTGGGGTGAGAGAGACAGAGAGAAATGTGCAATATGTGTGTGGTTTGAGGTTTGGGCCATTATTAATGCACTTCAGGGTCATCATGAGATGTTTTCTGTGCTCACTAATGGACTCGTGCAGTTTCTCTAGTCACTCCAAGACAACAACTTATTTTATATTGTCTTATTTTCTGTGTTTATTCCTCAGATTTACTTTCAGCATCCCATCTCAAACTTTTACTGTATATCAATAACTATGGTTCTCAGTTCCTTCTGCACATTACTGCATCATAAGTGTTTTATTATTTAATTTTCATTTCTGTCCTTGTGCTCTCTGAACTGACCAGAGCACACAAAAAATCAGCCAAAGGGCCTCCTAATGATTGTGGATGGGATTTATTTTAGAAGGTATTTCAAATAGCGGACCTCAGAGGGAATGTTGTAGCCACAAGAGTTGATGCAATAATTTATTAACTCAGAATAATCCATAAACTGAACGGAACGACCAAACATGATACAAAGAGCTCCGCAGCACTCTCTTAATAAAGAAGCTCATCCGTAAACAAATGAACAAACTTTGTCAAATCTCTTGACTATTCTAACTAATAAACTTACTGTAAAAAAATAGAATTTGAGATGGTTCCCTTTATAAGAAATAAAGGAAAAAGTCATAACACTCTCTTTTAGAAAGTTAAATATCTTGGAATTTCTTTTAAAGTGGTTAATTTGAAAAGCCGAAATATTTTTCATGCTCTTGATTTAGTCGAAACATTTTTAGTCTTTTTTATTATTATTTTGTAGTTCTTGTCATTATCAGCTGTTAAGTCCAAAACAAAAATGATAAAACAGGACAAATGTTCTTGTTGAGAATTAAAGCTTGCAGGACCCGGTTTATGGGAGCTGCTGTATTTTTGGGACCAGTCTGTGCACTAAGATGTGGGGCTTTAAGTCCTGCCAACTCGCCTCCACATACAGAATCATATGACCTTTCTTTTTAGCATAAAACAATAAATTAAAGCTAAATGTATTAGAAAAATGAATATTTGAACATACATAAAAGGCAAAGCACAATGATCAACAAGTCAACTGAATCTAAAAAATTATCCGAGGTGTTTGTCCATTTTCAGAGACTGATCCCCCTTTAAAGATTATTTCTTACCTGACTGACAGCTGGTTTTGGAGGGACCAAAATGGATTTGTCATCTCAAAGCATTTCCGATCTTAAAACTTCACACTTATGCCAATTTTACATTACGTGATCATTGACAGAAAAGTCTGGGGTTTTTGCACGCGCAAATAGCAGCGCTAGCTTTTTAGCAGAAATAACATGTACAGTAATGTGAAAATGATATAAATATTTATAAATCAGTGTTTGAACTATCTGGTATACCTTTACGGTAAAATGTGAGCCATAAAACCTGAATAAAGGTCTAAATCGACCCCTTAGCCCGACATTTGAAGTGACTGCGTTGCGTTAATAACATGTCACTATTTAAGCAGGACTAAAGGCAAAACAACTTCCAATATGTCTTTTAAACTTGTGCCAAAGATATAAAACACTGAGCAAAAAGATGCTATGTGTAGCTGGATGAATCTTTTCAGGGTGTAGGGGAAAATACAACCTAAAATACAAGTGCTAACATATTTAATGTTACATTTTTTTTTTAAATAAATGTAATGGTAGGACCTGAGATTGAGCCTGGCTTAGTCCAGTTATTTAAATGTCCTCACTAACACACTTGAATGTTGACAATTTTGAACTCATTTCCAAGTGGAATCTTTTTGTTTTTAAAGCTAAAACTTTTATATTCCATTTTGTCATTTACAGGCTTGACTTTAAAAAACAGAGAGGTGTTACTATATTTTTATATTTAGATCCAAACAAGAATATGACCAAAAATAGACGCTTTAATAGTTCGCTTAACCTTGTGCATCACGTCTTCCAGTAAAAAAAAAAAAAAAAAACTTACAGAGGAATTATTTGAACTTCTTTTCTAACAAATCATGTCTTAAAAGTTTTTTTTAATTAACTTTTTCTTCCACAAAGTGAATGAAGTCCAAGCTCAAGCATGTCCCTCTGCAGAATCTTGATCCAGTTCAAATGTTTTCCACCTCTGGGATTAAGTCCAGGATGTCCTGACAGGGAACAATTACTAGCGGTAAGTGACAGACTATGTCCAGCCTGTCAGTACCAAAGACATTAGACCAGGAAGTGGTCTGCTGCCGTCCAGTGCGACACAGAAAACCTTTAAAAGAATGACAGAATGCTGTTTACTACTTTGTTTTGTATCCCTGCTGCAGCGAGATGTATCTGAACAGATGTGTTACATGCTAACGAGGCAGACTCTGAAGGAAACGGGAAAAAACAGCCACTAGGGAGCACAAGCCAGTGTATCTCTTGTGCCAGTCCCAAGCCCAGGTAAATGGGGAGGGTTGTGTAAGGAAGGGCATCCAATGTAAAACGCTTTTGCCAAAACCATAATGCGAGTTGATCAAACCAAAACCATACCGAATCAGTCGAGGCCCGGGTTAACAACGACCGCCACAAGTGCTGTTGACAAACAGGGTGCCGGCAGAAATTGTGCTACTGTTAGTCGAAGAGCACGAGGAGGGAAACGTGTCAGGAGACAGAGGGAGAAGAGGAAAGTGAAGAATGTAGGACTGAGGGTTGCAACTCTAAATGTGGCTGTGGCGACACCTGAAGCGGGAAAAGCTGAAAGAAATAGACAAACTGTATGTTAACATCAACCAGCTTCATAAGCTTTACTAGTTCTGTTGGAAATACCAGGTAAAAAAAGGTAAAAATTTAAGAGGTGAACTAAAAACAGATCCATAAAATTGAGGTCAAAATGCAAATCAGGTTTCAGAGTTCGTAGATTTACTTCAATCCACAAGGTCTGTTGTGACATTTTAAATACTGCCATGTTCAAATATATTTTAAGACAGGATCAATTTTCTTTTGAGATCAACTCTGTCTTATTTTAGTCATTTTAAGTCCAAGAGGTTGAACGTTTCCTTCTGGTCCCTAGCTGTGCTTTTTTCCTGTGTTCTTCCTCTTCAGAGCCTTGATCCAGGCAGGAAGAGCAGAGCGGCGAGCTTGGATCACCTCTTCGGCTGCTACCTGATCCTCTTCGGCTGCTACCTGCTCCTCTTCAAACTCAAGGTCTGACAGCGAGTTCTCGTCTGATCTCAAGTCCTCCTCCTCGGAGTCCGTCAAATCCCAGTCCATACTTGGAGGCTCGATGGTTATCACCTCCTCTGAAAAATGAACCAGGCGGTTTTCCTCGACTGAGACTCGTCTCTGATTGACAGAAAGATAAACAAAACAAAAGTTAAACAAACAAACAAAAAAGACTATAGTATAAAAAGTATGGTGACATCTGTTGCAAAAAGTTGAAATTCATGCTGTGCTATTTCATAAAAACTCAAAATTTGAATTTTTTTTTAAGCTTTCCAAATATTTAAATGTTTCTGTTTTGGTCACAGCAAAGGTCCTTTAACAGTTTTCATTGAAAAAAATCCAATACATTTAATTAAAAGCTAAATTTACTACCAAAACTGTTTTAAAACAACATTTCCTTGTTCTGTTACAGCACAACTCACATTTAGTCCTGATTTTGTAGCTCAGGCTAAAAACTTTTAGCATAAAGAAACAATTTTTTTAGCTGCTTTGTCACTAAATCATTATATTTTTAAAGTTATTTCAGCTGAAGATAAACTGAGGAAGTTTTTTGTCTACTTTTTATTTTTGAACCATAAGGGGGCGCTGTGAGTCACAACAACTCACTCTTTTTGTCATCGAAGCCCCTGAGATGTGGGACGTGGAGTGTTTGAGGATGCCTCGAGGAACCAGAGCAGGATTAAAGGAGGACGGAGGAGGTGGAGGATCATCGAGCGGTGGCTCTGATGAATCCTCCATCATCTGGCAGCTGGGTAAGACCGGCGCAGATGTGGTCCTTGCTGTAGGTTATAATAATGAAATAATCATTCAAATGCTCAACTTAAGACAGATGTTGCACAGCGACGTTTCCAGAGCTCTGACCTCTTTCAGCCGACTGATGCTGCCTCTTCCTGCTGGTCTGACCTCTGACCTTCAGCACGGCGCTGTGAAGAATATCTGAAGCCTGCAAACAAACAAAAAAAACAACTTCTGTTCATATTGAT